TAACAACTAAGCTGAGTATGCCTGGGTCCTGGACCTGTGAATAACAGCACACTGACACAACTCTGGAAAGAAAAAGAACACAACTTCATTTGTTACAGCAGCAGCTTTTCTGGCGCCAGCATTCCGAGTGAATCCAGTGCATCGAGAGACCCAACTGCCTCTAGATACCATCAATATCCTTCAGTAGTTGACCGAGGTTCCACATGAGGGATGACATACACCACGTGGTGATGGAGGTGGGCCCCTGGCCCCTGAGCTAGGCCAGCCCACACCCTCCCCCAGCCCTCCTTTGGGGGAATCCCTTAATTTCCAGAGGTGACAGATCCTGCCTGCCACCCCAAACACTGCCTGGATCCACCCCAATGCTTTAAGCTGGAGGGGCAGAAAAATTACGCTCTGGCCAACGGAGCAGCTCGGAATTACGTGGCCAGCCAATAGGAGGCCACCCAAGCTCTCCTGTCAGCCCCTGCACGGGCACGCAGTGTGGCCAGCACCATTGTCTCCTTTTCCCAGGCAGCAACAGTGGCCACAAATTGGGCACCCTGGTAAATCAAGGCCCCTATTACTGACCTTTTTCACATAATCCATTGCCTAAAATTCTCTCCATGAAAACAAAGACTGCCTAGATAATCTGTTTTCCATGGATAAAAGAGCCTGTGCACTTCCTTCTGAATAGAAAGTAGTGAGATTAAAGAGGATTTTACATTTACAAAAATAAGGGGGAAACTGTTCCATTTATCTTGTTCCTAATATGGCAGAAGTTATTACAGATAAAAACTAATTACACTGCACTGCAGGATTATAGAAACAAGACAGCATCTCACAGTATTTGTTCTGGGAGCCTAGGGGGGTCCTCTAAGGCAGAGGTCCTCAACCCCCGGCCCCGGCCCGTGGCCTGAGCCGGAGAGGGCCACGGAGACAGGGCTCCTGCCCCACCCCCACACACACTCACCCCCACACAGCTGATGCATGCATGCGTGCGCACTCCAGCATGCTCGTGTGAGCACTGCGCCGCTGTTTGCACATGCACATGAGCGCGAGGGCTGCCCCACCTTCCCCAGCCGGTCCGTGGGGTGAAAAAGGTTGGGGACCCCTGCTCTAAGGAGATACAGGCCAAAGCAATCAACATGCTATGACAATCTGCAGGGTTTTGCTGCATCGCTTCACTTGGAAAACCAATTGCAACTGCTGCAGTTCTTGGGTATTTAACCTTTTCAGTGAGAGATCCGTGTAGACATGGAATTTGTGAGAATTAGGTTTGGTTCATTTGACTGATGACAAATTTTCAAAATTCATGCTTGTATTCATAAATTATGTTGAAAGATTTCAGAAATGCTAAAAGGGGAGAAAGAGACTCGACAGGCTTATCACCTAAAGGTCTGCCTTTGGGTTTCCATCTGTATTCAAACCATCTCTTCCTCTTATATTTCCTACTTGTTTTTCCTGGTGGTTTCTCCGCTCATTAATTGCCAGGGACAAAGGGACTGGATATGTTATAAACTATAAAATAAAAGCACAAATAAATTGGAATTAAGCTATAAGGCAGGTAGGCAAACACAATCTTTTCCATCTTGTGTATAGTTATACCTGTTGAATTTGATTTGTACAGAGGGTTCAGCTTCTTAAATTAAAAAGTAGTCATTGTTGATGAATTACTTCATAAATCTTATGAAAATAACTTGAGATATTTTTAAAATTAAGCAAAACCATTCATACACTTTCTGTTAAATAATTTATAATTGAAAACCCCATAAAAAGAATGTTTCTAGCAAAGTAAAAAGCAAAAGAAAAGCAAAAAAGCAAAGCAAAGTATGCTGCTTATATACTGCCCCATAGTGCATAAAGCACTCTCTGGAGGGTTTACAATTTTCTATTTAGTTATATTAGCTGCACATTCCTCCCCCCCCCATGAGCTGGCTACTCATTTTCCCAACCTCAGAAAGATGGAAGGCTGAATCAACCTTGTATTGGCTGTCAGATCCGCTGGTATCAAACACTGACTCATGAGCAGAGTTTTGGTTGCAATACTAACCACTGTGCCATGAGGCTCCTCAAACCTTAATTCTTCTTTACCAGAATATTTGTTCAAATTTTTTTGTACTTTTATGTTGTAGTTTGTAACATGTCCAGTTCCTGTGTTCATTCCAGTAAATTGCCAAAATCCTGCTGCTTAGTTGAGTCTGTGGAAGACAAATTGTGTAATTCACAGTGGCTTCTCACTGGCAATTAACTAGCCACTCTTTGCATTTTCAGTTGCATACCAATCCACCAGACTAGTGTGCACCTGAAAATCCAAGCAGGGACTTGTTAATTGCCAATAAAAAAGCAGTTGCAAGTTAAGCCATTTACCTTCCATGGGCATAGGTACACAACAGGATTTTCATTTACTGGCATAATCACACTGTTCAAATAACTAATGTAGGAATGGGGAACTTGGGAGGTCAGGGACTCTTCCCATCCAAGATGCCCCTTGAAGGAATATAGCCCCTATTCCAGATGAGGTCAGATGCTGCGTTCTTTCCAGTGCCATCAGATCCCTAACTATGCCAGAGCATCTATGGGGCTGGCTTCATTCCCTCTTCACTTCTCCATATGGTCCTCAGGTGCTAGCTGGAATGCACAGCTGGCCTCCCCCCATAGTGCCCATTCCCAAAAGCAGAAAGTGAGGAAAGAGAGAAGCAAGAGAATAAAAGATCAGCTGCTCTTCTATCACTATCCCTTTTGAGAGGGCGGGGCTTCATGGGTGAGAGAGACCCTGTTTTGAGGCACGAAGGCCCAAATCTTGATGTTCCAAATTTGACCTGAGAACTGAAGTTTCCTGAACTATCATCATCATCATCATCATCATCATCATCATCATCATCATCATCATCATCATCATCATCATCATCATCAACAACAACAACAACAACAACAACAACAACAACAACAACAACACCTTGAAACTGCAGAGGTGGAAGGGACCCTATGGATCACCAAGTCCAACCCTTGTCAAGGAGCCACAACAGGGAATCGAGCTCCTAACCTCTGGCTCCACAGCCAGATACCTAAACCATTGATGTAACTGGCAGTTCAGCAATATGATACGCCTCTAGAGAGAACAAAACCACTTGGTTTTCTTACCAGGCTTTCTGTGAGTTCAGTGACCTCTCCTGCTCCAACAGGAAGTTCCTTCTTCGGGCTGCCATGATATCGTTCTGCTTCTTTAACCTGAACAAGTTGTTCATCCAGAGCTTCTTTCTGGAGTAGCAGCTTCCGTGTATGGCCTGCTTGGGCACCAAGGTCCTTTTCCAAAGCCAGAATGACTCTATCTTTGCTTTTTATCTCATCCATCTTAAAGAGAGATAAAACAACCAACTACAATAACAACACATTAATTCATCCAAATACTCCCCAAAATCCCAATTGTTCTTTTTACTGTTGGAACAAATTTCTAATGCTAATTAGTATTTGTGCATTGCTGACTTTTTTTGTCCTGATATTCAGATGTGAATTCCTTTAAGAACCATTCATTCCCTCCCATAAAAGTTGACAATACACAACATACAGCAATTGTGAATAGCTCTACATAGCATCTGATAATACTTAGTGTAACTGATGATATGAAAACTCTCTGCAACATGCCATTGGCACTGACAAAATAACTGTAGAAGGTCTTGATCACATGCATTTCTAAAGTTCCTTGAAGTGGTTTGTTTAAAGATCTCATCCTTCATAGGTAAAGGTTCCACACTTGGATTATATGATTAATAGCTAATCATCTGATATGTTTAATTTTTTAACTGATTCAGAAAACATTTCAGTCAATGATCCTTAAACATGGTTGAAATGGAAATATTCACATATAAAGGCATAAAGTTCATGAGATAATCTCAAATATTGTTACACATAAAGGAAAGTAGTTAGCATGCAGTTGCATAAGATCAGATTGAACATTTCTGTCAATAGTTTTAAATAAAGTTGGGCAGTGATTAGAATATAACTCATAAAAGCAAATAGCTCAAAAATGTTTTTGAGATGCTTTGCTTTTATTTTTTGAATTTTGAATACATAATTATTTTTTAAAAACAAAGTAAACTCTAAGAGTCAAATATAATAACAAGATACCTCAACTTAACAATTCTCAGGATTTCATACGTCACCCAAACACCCTTCCTATGATTACATATTTTTGTACATGCCCAATTCATATAAACATTGAAATTATATCAGGTACTGGAAACAAAAATACAAGTTGCATTCTATGCACACTTACTTAGAAGCAAGCACTATTAAATTAAGTTGGACTCCTGGGTGAATGGGACCAGATTTTACTGTTAAATAATAAATGACTTGTTATTGTGAAAGGGAAATATTTCCATCTTGTCATATATTTGAAGCTTTTCTTTAATGCTTCATCCCTTTTGCCTTATTAGCTTTTCCACACTCTTTAGTTGTGCAAATATTGATTCCTATCTACTGGATGAAATTGGTTGTGTGTGAAATATATCACAACTGGATGATAGTTAGAATCTAAAATAACATTGTAATTCCTAAGCAATGACATTGGTGTTCAGATCTGAGCTGGATTGTTTATGATAGAACATTTTGGTGGTAATTCATTCATAGGGTCACCATAAAGACAAATCAAGTAATAATAGGGATGTAGCTTGTGGTGGATGGGGTTATACTCTCTCTGAAAACACAGGTGTGCAGCTTAGGGGTGCTGCTGGATTCATCTCTAAGTGGAGATGCCCAGGTTTCAGCAGTGGTCAAGAATGCCTTTGCATAGTTAAAATTAGTGTGCCAGCTGCGCCCATTCCTGAAGAGATCTGATTTAGTCGTGGCAGCACTAGCCTTAGTTACATCCTGGCTGGATTACTGTTACACACTTTACCCATGTCTGCCTCTGGAAAGTATTAGGAAGCTTCAGCAGGTCCAAAACACAGCAGCCAGATTGCTGACTGAGGATGGTTACAGGGATCACATAACCTCTGGCAGATCCACTGGTTGCCAATCCGGCCAGAATTCGAAGTGTTGGTTCTAACCTATAAAGCCCAAGATGGTGTGAGCTCAAGCTATCTCAGGGACCACCTCTTCATTTATGAGCCTGCTCAAGTGTTCTCATCATCAAGAGAGGTCCTGCCACCTTCACAGGTGCATTCTGTGGTGACATGGGACAGGGACATGGGACAGAGACATATCTGCTGCTGCTCCCAGACTCTGGAATCCGGCAGGTCCACTGGTTGCCAATCCGGGCAGAATTCGAAGTCTTGGTTCTAACCTTTAAAGCCCAAAATGGTGTGAGCTCAAGCTATTTCAGGGACCACCTCTTCATTTATGAGCCTGCTCAAGTGTTCACATCATCAAGAGCGGTCCTGCCACCTTCACAGGTGCATTTTGTGGGGACATGGGACAGGGACATGGGACAGGGACATATCTGCTGCTGCTCCCAGACTCTGGAACTCCCTCCCACATGAGGCCATGTTGGCCCCATCTTTGCTGTCCTTCCACAAGCAGATGAAGACATTTCTCCTCAGACAAACTTCCCTGACTAACTGATTGCCTGAGTGGGGTTTTTTAATGGATTGTTGCACCTTACTGCTTTGAGTGACATCATCAAGAGCGGTCCTGCCACCTTCACAGGTGCATTTTGTGGGGACATGGGACAGGGACATGGGACAGGGACATATCTGCTGCTGCTCCCAGACTCTGGAACTCCCTCCCACATGAGGCCAGGTTGGCCCCATCTTTGCTGTCCTTCCAAAAGCAGATTAAGACATTTCTCCTCAGGCAAACTTCCCTGACTAACTGATTGTCTGAGTGGATTTTTTAATGGATTGTTGCACCTTACTGCTTTGAGTGTGTTTTGTTGTTGCTTTTGTTTACCATTTTAAAGCATGGTATTTGTTTGATCCTTTTTAGTATTTGTATACTCACTGTTGTTAGCTTTAACTACTGTCTTCTAATGATGTAAGCTGCCTTGGGTCCTTTTTAAAGGGAAAGGCAGGGTAACAATATTTTAAATAAATAAATCAGAAATGACTTGACAGCATGTAAGATAAAGTAGTCCAAGAAGCAATAATAGCTGCAGACACTGACTGGAGTACTGCAAAGAACCAAAATACCAAGTGGAGATGAAAGAAGGTTTCCAATAATTCCTGTGCTAGGGATTTGTCATAATGAAAGAATACCGATCTCCTTCTTTGCTGGACAGCTTAAAGTGCCTTGGAATCAACACAGGCAAAGGGTAGTTGCCATTGACGTTGAGATTTCTCAGCTGAAGACTTGCTGTGAAATGAGTCGTCCCCTCCATTCCCTCAGAATGGCAAGGCTTACTGAAATCTTATCCATCTCTGAGATAGAGATCTCTCAATTTGGGGCTCAGAACACTTTGTTTGGACACAGGAAGTAAAAGAAAATATTAAGGTGGCTCTCAGCACACACACATCGAAGGGGATCCCAGGCAGAGCTTGGAAACATGTTGATTTTAATGTGTTAGTATCAAATTTGTTACTTTTTGGTCAAAAAGGTGGAAAGTTTCATAGAAGAGTCATGAGACATTCTGAAAATACACCGGATCATACATATGTATGCCCAATCCTCTCCCTAGAACAGTGTTTCCCATGGGGGTCATGAAGTGTTTTTTTGGGGGGGAGGACTTTTCTTAGGCATCTTTCAGTCTCGAGAGACTATGGTAACGTGCTCTGAGCTGGAGTGTCCTCTCCAGAGCATGAAGCCTGGGTAAAATCATATGGAGGATAGGCTGTTACCCAAGCAGCAGATCCCCCCTCTCCACATTGCTGAAATAGTCCAATGGAAAGGCAAGAGCCAATACAACTGGTTCCAACGACTTCGCAGGAGTTGACAGAAGAAGAAAGAAGAAGCCCTTAACTTAATCATTTCTTCTTTGACCTTTTGGAGCAGGATCTTAAAGTTTGTTTGCATGTGTATTGTTTGAGAAACAGGGCCTTTGGGGGCGGGGAAAAGAAGCCTCTGCTTTTTTGAGAAGGGATGACTTTGTCCCATTAAAATGCCTTTTTAATGAAAACGTGGCGGAGGGAATCACAGGTTACTTGGCTATTATAAAAAAGGTCATGGCTCTTTTTATAATAGCCAAGTGCTCAAATGCCATAAGGGTATCACAGGAGAGCAAAGCCAGAGCTTTGTTGGCAGAGAACGAAGAACATTTCAACAAGCCATGCCTTTGGGAAAGGATGGGAGGTGTTGCCTAACCTAGGAGGCCCTTCTCTAATGGAATGTGTGTGGCTGGAATCAAAGAGTTACACTGGAACACCTTAGTAATGCTATGGCAATTAAAACATACACTTCTGACAGTGCGAGAGTTAGGCATAGAAAAGAGGCTCGGCAATACTGGGAGAACTTACCAGCTTGCGGATCTCTTTTTCACATTCACGCTTGATCCTACTAATCTCTTCTTGGTGGGACTGGTAGGCTACACGTAGGTCAGCGGCCTTCATCCTATCGGCCTGCATGATGTTACTCAAGGCTTCCTCCAGCTGCTTTCTCCCTGATTTTAGTTCTGTTATCTCCTGCTGCATCTTGATACGCTCACCATCAAACAATTTCCGGGCTTCTTCTCTGGCTTCATGTAACAAGGCTGTTTTCACTTTGTCACCTGCCCCATCCCGTAATACATTGACTGCGGACAGTAGTCGCTGGATTTCACTGTCTTTTACTTTTACCAAACGAGCCAGTTCTTGCTCATGTTGGCGAATCAGGACCTCCCTGAGAGCTTGGAGTTCCTTCATTTTCTCTTCATGGAGTTTAGCCTTCAGTTCCGATATGAAGGCGGTATGCTTATACTGATCCTGTTCTCGCTCTTGTTTTACTTCCTGGAGCTTCTCTCTCAGTTTATTCAGCTAGAATACAAACACATATAAAAATCCAATAGGCTGATATACTCTAACACACACATATACATAGAACTGTTGAAATATCTGTTATACAAGTGAACCACTACAAATGTATTTAAAGTATTTCTGAATATACCGCACCTAAAGTTCAACTACTAGCCAAGTTGAGTGGACCATACAGAATAGGAAAGATAACAGCTCAGCAATAGAGTTCAAGCTTTTAATGCAGAAGATTGCAGGTTCAACCCAGTATCTCCAACCAGGGATATGGTTACATATTAAAATACTTCTGAATTTGTGTCAGGTTTAGCACGCTTGAATTTGATTTTTTAGAATATCTGTTTAAACCATGTACAGCTAAGCGCACATTTCTTTGGTTGGGACGTGTGGGGTTTTTTTGTTGGAAAGGAAGTTTTCTTAAACCCCCACTCGAGGCTTTTCATTTTAACTTGATTATGAACACAATTTATTTTGAATAATTTTTGAATGTGTGCTCACCTGTATCAGAGTAAATTGTGTCTATGGGGTTTGTCAAATAATGGACAAAGGGGATCACAGTTTTGGGGCTGCAGAGTAACCTTGCAGTCCAATCTGTTATTTTTTCTTCTTCCTGTAACACTGCTCTAGAGCTATTTACTTGAGGTGGAAGTTAAGGTACAAGACACTTGCATCAATATGCCCATGTTTTGAGTGGGGAGGAAGATGATCTGTGGTCTGAATTTCTTTAATATTGGAGGTACAACTTCAGCTTTTTGTTTCGAACTGAATCTGTTTCTCAGTTTTGGAACTAAGGGCCTATCCAGATGGGAATATAGGCTGCTATATGTATCACATTTGATGTGAACCAAATTATGGCATCCACATGTGTTTCTACCTAGATCGATCCATCCTCCACTTTTAAGAGCTGTCCTGTTTCTTTCTGGCACAGTGTTTGGAGCTTCTGGGTATTTTGTACGATTCAGCATGCTCCTGATTATCTCTTTGTTTAGCTGTGTGAATGGGTAGTTCACACCCAAATGGAGCCATGGGTGGTGTTATCTGAAGTGACAACCCTGTGACATATTAGGTGGGTTGTGACATTAAAAGGAAAACCCCTCCTCTATTTTTGTTGTCTTCTTTAATTCCTAACTGACCTAGTGAAATTCTAATACTACATTAGGTTAATGAATTTTTGAATATCCCACTGATTATTATTTAATTATGGAAAGTCACTGTGGCCTGCTGAATGATGGCCACAGGAAACAGTGGAGAAGGGAGCTAATTGACTCCATGGGCTCCACCCCCATAAGAGCCCTGGATGAGAAGAAAGTCAGAAAAAGAGGGGTCACTTCTCTTTCATCTACTCAAACTTCACCGCAACATTTTCCCATCACACCACTGCTGTGCGCTGCTGCTGCCTCCTTAACTTGTGACTAAACCTGATATACCTGGCTCATGAATAAACTGGCACTCCAAAGACTTTTGTGGATCCTTCTCATGGGAGAATAAACATCTCGAGTGTGAATGGAAGGATTGATCATGTGAGATATAAACTAGATAGCATTGAAGAACCTTTTAAGCGTGAACCAGAGTGATCCAAATTCCCTGTCTGGACAGGCCCTAAGCCACCTTTCTAACCTATGAACTGGGATATTACTCAGAAAAACTAAATAATTATTGGTAATGCCTTGTTTGTATCACTAAAACATACCCCAAAGGTGAGCTTTTGAATTCTAAGGAAATCTAAGGAGTGTTCATCAGATTGAGATTTACTTGTAGTGAGGGAGGAAGAGAAATGGAAAAGTCCCAAAATAATTCTGACTATCCATCGAAGCTACAGGATCTGGGTTAAAGTTAAATTCCAGGATTACAGATGTGAAGGGTCAGTACTGTAGTTCCAGGCTTCACCTCTGAAAGTGTAAGATTAGTCATCTTTAGACAAAGGGCCACCAGTCATTCCATTTGTCAACCCACACAAATCCTGTTTGGGGGAATCATTTGAGAGAAACACCCCAAAACATGGCACTCCCCATATCAGAAAAGCTGCAGTTCAAATTTATGCAAACTAGGCAAAAACAGTTAGTAAGAACCTAGTTTGATGGGAGATACTGGCCATGGGCACCTAATCCTAAATGAGATATGGATGAAGAGAGGCTGTTTGTGTGCATATTAATGCTTCAATGTGCCCTGGGGAACGAAAAGTGTTTCTCCCTGGATAAGGAGACTAATTCTCTACAGTGGTGCCTCGCATAACGACGTTAATTTGTTCCAGCGAAATCGCTGTAGAACGAAAAGCAGTGCACTTTTGGGAAGAAAAGACTGTCTGCTTATTCTATCAGAGGCTTGCCTCAACTTGCATTTGGTAAACCAACTTACTCTTATTTTGCAGTCGGTCAACCAGGAATATGGCTTCCTTTGCCTGGAGGGATAAGTACGTATTTTAAGTATAAGAGAAGGAAATATGTTTTTGCTTTAATATGTGATCTGACCCACAGAAGACTGCAAAGGGTGGGTGAATGAGTGAAGTGACTATGTGAAAGAGAAAAAAAATGAGAGGAGACTGTTTCCTGGTTTTTCTGAAACAGTAGAATATTTTAGGCTGGCAACATCAGTGACAGCAGCTCACCTTGCAGAAGCTGGTAGCCAATGTGTCCCCATTCTTCTCCACCCACTTTCTTATCTGCAAAGTGATATTATATATATATTATATATAACACTAGAGGAATGTAAAAGAATGTGAAGGGTTCGGTCCATTTTTAATGTTTGAGATTGCCACTAATTATTACCCAAAGCAGCTTCTGTACAAATATAATACATATAAAGTTAAATGGATTGATGCTCTCTGTTGTTTTAGATGTGATTTAGTATTGATTTATTTACCATTTTAATGCAATACTTGTTTAATTCTTTTAAAATATTTGTATACATAGTGTTTTTTAGCTTTTAAATATTTTCTTTTTAATTGTATAAGCCACCTTGGGTCCTTTTTAAGGCAGAAAGGCAGGATAATAATATTTTAAATAAATAAAAAAAAGTTACAGTTGACCTCTTTACAGTATAAGCAATACATGGTGGGCAATATCAATGTCAACGATCTTTCTTTTCAAGCATGCTTTCTTTTAAATGACAGGTTGACAAAGGGGATTTTTAGAAAGGAATTATTGTATTCTGTTGTTTTATTTATAGCTTTTAATATTGTTCTTATTTATTTGTTTTCATATATTTGTTTAATACTTTTTAAAATACTGTAATAATGTACAGATTTTTACTTTGTTTCTTTGAATATCATAATATAGTAAGTAAGTAAGTAAGTAAGTAAGTAAGTAAGTAAGTAAGTAAGTAAGTAAGTAAGTAAGTAAGTAAGTAAGTAAGTAAGTAAATATGCTTGTTAATATTTTGGAGTTTTGGTTCAGTTTGGTAATTGGCCAAGCTTCTTTAAGATCTTTATCTGCTTCAGACTTGTAGGAACAAGCATAATTTTTGATGTTAACCAGGACTGTGGAACAGCATGCTCATTCATAATACAGTACCATTGAACAAGTGAAGTCAACATGATTACAGGGTATTCTGAATAAATTTTGAGTTACCTCAAAATCCCTGTTCTCAGGGCTTTAACAAATTTTTTTTGCTTTAGATTTATTCTGGCAAAATTAGCTTTTGGTTGTGATCTACTGATTTTTAATATGAATGTCATTTAAATGTTTATTAATTTATCTCTTGGATTTGTGGAAGAGTAAAAGAACTTTCAAAGAATGTAAACTGTGAATGCATTGTTTGAATATTGTATATTTTCTCCCTTTTGTATTCCTGACACAACCAAGCCACACTACTTGGCTATTGCACTCAGAAAGCCCATAGATTTTGATGTAGTTGCAACTGCATTTTTAAAATGTCCTTGTGATTTAATATATCATGCACTGATCCTTTATGGTGTGAATATTGCATGGGAATAAGATCTAGGTGGATTGAGGCTGAACCCGGACAAGACGGAGATCTTGAGGGTGGGTGGCCCTTCCGTCAGCGGCATAGGTGATTCCCTCACTTTTGGAGGGACAACCCTTGCCACAAAGAGCAAGGTCCGCAGCTTGGGGATACATCTGGACCCGGCGCTTACCATGGAAACCCAGGTGGCGTCCGTGGTACGCTCCGCCTATTTTCATCTATGGCGGATTGCCCAGCTGCGGCCGTATCTTGATGGGGGGGCCCTCACTACTCTAGTCCATGCGCTCGTAATCTCAAGATTAGACCATTGTAATGCACTCTACATGGGGCTGCCTTTGAGGCTATTGCGGAAACTTCAGATGGTCCAGAATGCAGCAGCCAGGCTTTTTAGTGGGGTGAGAAAATATCAGCACATCTCCCCCACTCTGGCTGCACTGCA